TTTCATATGCCTCTGTTTAGAACACTAGCTACATAAATTAACATTTCATAGTGATGGTAATTGAGCAATCGCTGCAACGTGTGGCGAAGATTGCAATTTCGATTGGGAAAACAGTTTTTATACAAATAGTGATCGCATTTGGGCTGGAGACATACAACTTGCTTTCAATCCATCTAGATGCATCAATAATCAACTGAGTGAATCAATTGTGCTTTTTTTACTCAAGTGCGAGATTTATTTTTCAGCAAGGAATTGTTGCTTTCTTCAAAAACAAATGTCCTTACGTTTCCACCTTTTCTTGTGAACTGTGAAAATTTTTCTGTGGGGACAAGAAACAGTCAAAGATTGGCAAGTTAAAAGAAAGCCTGAAAAAAATTGTGCAGGCGCATACATCCCAGAATGATTTCTCAAATGTACCACAGCATTCGCACAAGTCGATTGAAAGGAACAATCACAGCTGTAAGAATTAGCATGGGGGGAATGATTACGAGCAAAATTAGTAGATTTTAGAAATTTATGAGTTATTTTTTTAATCAATAATTTATGTATCGATTGATTGTGCATCGCAAGAATCCAGAAATCTCAGAAAACAGCTAATATGTCTTTTGAAAATGCACGATTATGCATATACCTCAAAATATAAAGTGAACATACTCGTGTGAGTTTCGGGATGACGTGGAAGGTTTTTTGTGAAAAAAAAAATTTCCGGAAGAAGTTTCGATTGAAGTCCGACATCCGATTTTTGAAAAAGCAACATGTACTGTACACATAGATTTCAAAAAAAAATAAAATAGATTTTGAGTGTTGTGGCTTGTGGGACATGTAAAGTCAATTCCTGTATAAAACATTACCCACTATTCATGTTGACAATTTTTCGAGAATATTGAACCCTAAAATAAAATTTTTAAACAAATTCTAAACACCAATGTCCTTTTTCAAAAGTGCAATCAATATGGGAGGCATAAATCAGACACCGTATGTGTGACAGGATATTCGCAAATAGGTCCACTTGATCCGAGGTTCATTCATTGTTAACCACAAAATTATGACCTTTTCAAACCGAAGGATATATTCAAGCGTATTTTGTGTGATCGACAATTTCTCTGAAATGGGACAGTGAACGACGGACTGCTGGTGCAAATAAAGCGTCGTTTTCCACCGATATTGGCATGAAGAAAGCACCACTGTGTGGATTCATCAAAACAACTCAGTTCAATCTGAACCATGATCGACCAGCCGATTTTGTTTTGTTCAAGGTATTC